ACCAGTGATAGAGCTAGATTTTAACTAAAGACGAGCGCAGAATTCTTCTTTGGCCTCGACCACTTGACGTTTGAGAGGACAACGCTTCAATACCGAAAATCACCACTGGATCATTTGGTCAGGGAAGAAGAATAACGCTCAAGACATTCATAATAGCGATCGGTTGTAGCTACACGAAAAACACTGATACAAGATCGCGGGATGACTCAAGTGATCGGAAGCGCAAGTGGATCAAGTATCTACATATTGGACAAGGCAATCCAAGGAAGTTGGGGTAGCTACGACAGCGCTCTCTAATACCATTGCGATGTGTAAAAATTCCACAATAGCTCTCTACTAATCTCAAATCAAATTAAATGAAATGAATGAAAAATGACAAAGGTCCAAGTCATCTAAAAGTGCGCATCCCGTCCACCCGAATGGTACAGGAGGTGAGCGAAAGACATACATCTACACGAAAGCGGATTTACCCCCTCCGACGTCGTCCGTCTATGCACCATTGAGGAGTTGAGATACGCAGGAATCTTGCAGCTGCAGCTCCTACAAGTTCAGAGACCACTCGTACTTATAATAAATTATATTTATACTAAAAAAGTCGAATTTGATATTGAACACGCGTTCTGTAAAACCCGTGATCCTTTACACTTTCTCGTAGGACCTCCTCATAATACCTTAAGTAATAGTAAACGTAGCGGCCTTTTACGCCTTCAGGTACCTGATACTTCGCTTAGCGAACATGATGGAATATACTGGCTAGTTTCCTTCTCTAGCCGTACGCAGAAGCCTCAAGAAGTTAACTAAGATATGATCGAGAAAGGCCTTCACACTCCTTCTGCATCCAGTATACTATGCTAGTCTAATGCGCGATTACGGTATTTACGCTATACACGACGTTGACATACTGCTACAAACTTTTAAGTCTTAACGAAAGAGTTGGAAGTCTATCCGAGTTATCGTCAAACTGGACACTGGAGATCCGCAAATTTGTCAAGGGCGAGGACAAAAGTCTTGGCATCCTAGCCGCTAGTATCATGCCACGCAAAGAAGTTGACGAACTGCTGAGCGCGATAAATTTGCGGAAACAACCAAAGCAGACAACAAGTATGCCACCTCACACGGTCAAGCTAAATCAAAGTCTTTTGGTAGTCACTCTCAACGGATCGACTCGAGTAAAGACAAAAGGTGGAGCGTATAGTGCGATCGTTTAAAAACTCCCGAGTGGACGATAGTTGCGGCCGCGTCGGAAGTTGCTTCCGATCTAACTTTAAGCGAAGCAGAATATGATAGGATACAACTAAGATTCAACCTTATTGCTGATAAGACCAAGGGACGCATCATTATTGCGGCAACTCGAACATAGTAATCAGTCAAATCATAGGTGAGATTGACTGTAAGTCACCTGGTCTTTATTTGTCACAAAGCCATAGATCGTGACCTGTAGCCGAGCTACTGTAGCCAAGCTACGTATGCACTATGTGCAGAGGAAGACAATCTCAGAGAGCTTCTACGTCTTAGGGTGCTTAATTCTTACTAGGCTAGCTCGTAAGCTTGTGCCTATCGGTTGTTACAACCGTGTCTCAAAGAAACTAGTATCAAAGATACAATTCCTTAGGAGGAATAGAACGCTCAAGTAGTGATGTTTAGAGAGCAGGTTTGAAACTGATTTATATTTATGTTTATCTTCAAGCACTAAATACAGAAGCGCCTACTGTATACTTAGCGCTAGTCACTATTTACTGGCTCTATAGCCTGTTATTATTATGCAAACTTGTATAGTCACTATACTTGAATAAATATAGTGACCACGTGGCTCTCTGCCACAATGCGACCCTTCGTACTTCAGGTACGGTCACATCATACAGCCACCACATTGGTGTGCCAGGTGTGTATGTAAAATACACACCTTCGTGTAACCTCGTTACATGACCGGTACGTGACTTTCTACACAAAAAACGGGACCGGAATCAGAGCGCTAATAGAAACTAGCAGTGGATAAAGATTTTGTGGATGTTTCAATTGAGCACTTTAGAGTTTGATTACACCTAGTCAAATGGATGAACCTATGGCCCCCAGTCATGTCGAGTTGTTAAGGTGAGTACGCTCACTAAATTAGTCGTAAGAAGTCGTTGTTACCGGAAATATTGCAGAGCTCATAACCCAGCAAGTTTGGCTTTACCCAGTAAATAAGCGAAAGTATAAGAGAAGTGAATTAATAATCTGAAGCCTGATCGGGAACGTAACCCTATATAGGCTAAGGAATTGAAGCTCTGCGCCCTGATCGGAACAGATTACGAAGTAGATCATAGTAAATTGATTTTTCTGTCTCAGATCGGTGGCATAATCTGACGCTCGCACGGAACTTGTTCGCTTAGTGGTTCCAAAGCTGCTACACATTAGGCTTGCTTACATCCTCCTGGAGGTGGTCACCAAGGTATCGGCTGGACTTATCAACGGATCAGGTCAAAATTTTACTGAAAATGTCCAAAATAGGAGCGTGGAACGTTACTTCGGAGAATATGTGGATTTTGAATCAGGCAAAGTGCTTCGTTCGAATGGCGGGGAATTGGCAAACCAGTTACACATTTTAAATCCCGTTTATTCTCCGTATGCCGTCGTTACCGCGATCGTTCAAGGAATATGGAGCTACAACTATGTCTAAAACTTTTCTCTGGCTACGTGATCGCGAAAGCATGTTTGTTTCGAGCTGCACATACGAATGCAGGAACTACGTACCAGCAGTGGGTGAATCAGTCTGTGATATTCCATGGTGCACAGTAGCCTCCTCCAGATCCACCAAACATGAGGTTTACTGTGCTCTAAGAACAAACAAAAAGTCAAGTCCGATTGTGCTGAGATATCCATCGATAAGGCGTGCAGATTAGTGATTGCTTTGTTATAGCCGGTATCATTGCTAATGTTTACCTTTTCCTTCTAGAATGGGTATTCAGCTAAAACGAAAAAGGTGTATTCAGTCGGCCCCGTTAGATTTATGTCAAAGCCGTCTATGGCCATCGACAACCTGGTTGTAACGACGCGGACGCAGCTCAGCGGGGTCTGAGCCCAAAAATCCACGGATTGTCCGCCTACAAGTAAACGACAGAAAATTACTGCAGTGCCCGCCCATAAATGATCTCGCCTGCTCAGAAAAGACAAATGCACGCAGATGTAGGATCCATTCAGGTTCTTCCCATTAGCTCTTGGCAGCTCCTCGAAAATGCAAAATTATCGCAGCGCTGGACCATGCAATTTGCCTGGGACAGGGCTCAAGATACAACTCGCATTCGATAGCGCAACCTTTCTTCATGGGATAGGTCTTCGGGGGATGAAACGGTGACCCGCGCTCGATGTTTGCCCCCCCCCCCGCGTTCCACGCCACGGTGAGTGACCCGACCGGGCCATGCGTACTTCTATCGTTGTGGGTTGGCTGCGCCTAGAATGGAGACTAACCCAACACCTCCTTGCGGGCGTGGAAAAACGAAAAGGCCAAGGTTTATGTGATGGCGACCGGGTTCATAATCAGTTGAATTGTTCCATAAGATCTGCTTATAGAGGTTATGGAGGACTCTAAGAGCAGGGCGGGATACTATCGACTGCAGTCGTGAAGAATACCCCAGGTAAAACAATTGTAATGAGGATCAGTATGCGACTCGCCCACGCTCGTCCGTCGCGACGGAGGAGGCGGCGTCGTACGTTGCGTATCCGGAGTGCCTAGTTCGCTTTTTTTTTTTTCCCCCCTCACGCTTGGTTCCCCACGTACCGCGTCTTCTCAATGGGTTTGGAGTGATGGCCGTGTTATGGAAAATGATTTGACTCTTATTGGCTGCATTAGCAACTTGATAGTTGGCCAAACTATTTGAATAGGTCGAGAGGCGTGTGTTTTCCATCCCGGTCACCAATTCTGACAAGGTCTCACGCCACGCGAGGAACTGGTCCTAAGAACGGGCTGCCAATCGCTGGCAGTTTGTACACCTGCTTGCGCCTGGTCGGAATGGCCGGCCATGGATCGCATGTACTTTGGTGCCGTTCCCAGTTCGATACATGTTTGTATTGCCTCCGCATCGCCTCCAATGTCCGTTCGATCTGGTTATCGAGTTACTTTGTAAGCTGAATCCTTCCCCAAACTAATGCCTCGCTTGGTTTATCTGTCTGTCTCCTGTCCCAATTGATCTCACTGTGTTTTCGTCACCAAAGTCCATCCATTCCCGTGCCTTCAGCTTTTGGGCGTACCGCCGGCCGCTTTGGTTGCCCGGATCGGACGGTACACCACCTTCGCTTAAAGTATCACTTGTCAACTCTTAGCTATGAAGTATCACTTGTGGTCTTAAACAACGTGACTCGCCTGTAAGGTATCACTCTTGGTCTACGCTCTTGATTAAAGTTTAGACTACGACAATTCACGCCAGTGGTTATAGTGTTCTGTGTTAGTTTGCACATGCTGCACTACAAGACATGCTCCGCAAAGCCAGCAACGTCCAATGCAGTGACGCATCGAGTAGCAACCTCCGCACCTTAAAGCTTGTGGGTTGGTACGGTTGCTTTTGGTCGTTGACAATAGCTACAGCATTGACGCCGACTACTTTAAATAATAAGATTTATGGCTGTATGGCGTCTGAACGTTTTAAGAGCTGCTTTAAACCAGCATTCAACGGTACTGGTATCCATGCTGTCTGGCACAATTCCATTTATATTGGTGCCAGAGCTCGAATCGCTCTTGGACCGCAACATGCTCGCCTGTGCTGCTTTGATGAGCAGTGGTATCAAGTGTTACGCCAATACCTAAATCTCTTACAGCCCGAATGCTCGACAAAAGCGCAACGAAACAATCTTATTCGCAGAACCCTTTAGCTAGTCATGACTATCCCAAGAACCGGGCCCACCTTGATATTGACCACAGCAAGTGCTTGGGAATCACCCGAGTCTCAGACGTCTTCAAAATGAATCCATTCGACAACCGGTCGGAAATTGCTCGCTTACTTAGCGTCTACTGACAAGCTAACGCCTTAAGCTAGTATGGCAGTCTCGTACACTTGCAACAACGCATCATCACCACCCGAGACTAATCGCGATCCTGACGAGTTGTACGCAACGCTCCACACCTAGCAAACCAGTGTCCGTTTATTCTACATCGTACGCACTAACCAAACGCATATTCCTTCTTACCTGATCGGTATGCGTGTCAAAAGTGGTCAAGCAGCGCCTCGTACCTATGTCCCAAATCTTTACACGCCGGTCTGCACCGCTGTTAGCAAACGCATAAAATTAGATATCTGTTTAAAACAAACAATACCACTCTGTAGCTAAATCTAGCAACGTACCCCGTAGCAAATTGCGTACCATTAGGCGAGCACGCTACTTTTAATACCCACGAGACGTGACCAGAAAGAGCGGCAACAGCGTTTTCATACGCACTACACAAAAGGCACATTAAAACACTTGCATTCCACCGCTACAAGCGACATAAAATCGCATTCCACGTACACATCGTAAACATTGACGTGCATATCATCCGAGGCTGCAAACAGCTTCCCATCCGGTGAGTACGCGACCGAGCGCACCGGCTTTGTACGATCTGTAACATCGTATCAAGAACTACACGTGAGCATCATGGATTCCCGTTACACTCAAACACGCTTGCTTTACCTATATACCTTCGTATTTGTGGACCAGGGCTCTAGTTTCTACATCATACACGCCAACGTAACCATCAAAACTACCACACGCAACGTGTTTCCCGTTTGGAGACTGCATCATCGCAATACAACCACAACTGCATCAGTACCCTTACCTATACCGACTGAAACTCAAGAACCAACCCATACGTAAGCAACACTCAGCACAAACTTGGCTTGTGTTGGTATTTCCTGCACGATTTTCTCCGTCTCCATGTCAAAGAAGTTGATTTTGCCCTGCTGACTGCCCGATACGAGCTTGGTCTCGTCGGGGCTATAGGCAAGTTGCCAGAGCTCACCAGGACCGGCATCAATGGTCTTTTCCACTGTACCCGACGAAAGGTTGAGCACACGAATCTGACAGTCGAGAGAGCTTGTGACGGCGTGTGTACCCGCTTTGTTACCGACGATGGAGATCGTACCCAGAACATGGCCCGGATACTGCTGCGAAATGGACACGGCATCCTTCGTTACATCCCTACAGCACGTAAGAGATAACACAAAAATTAACATCTCTTGTCCACCTCTCATCGTTACATGTGAATAAATACAGACGCACCAGGCCTTGGCGACTTCGTCTACCGATCCAGTCAAAATCTTGTCATTAGACGTCCAGAATGTGCTCCAGATACCGTCACTGTGTGCATTAGGGAATTGAATGGATGCCCGGTACTGATACAAACAAGACACAATGTGGTAGAAGAATAAATGAGTTGTATGTAAGTAGCATACTTGATAAAGCAAGGCAAGCATTAGTTGCACGTACATTTGCTCGCGCTGCCATCGATGCAAGGCAAGATATTCTGGTCCTTATTATTAGGTTTACTTAACTGAAACCTTAATGAAGCTGACACGAGAGATTGAATGAATGTATACCTAACTACGTTGAATCGCTACTTTAACAAAGTTGATCTTAATGCTGCGGCAAACGCTTTCTTTGCTAAGTACTTATAGCTGGAAGGAGGTGGCGTATATGACCAAGTCTCCACATGCGCTACAGGCTTTAGACATTACAATTCCACAACGAATTCCTCCTTGTGCTAAGCTACCTACTTGTGTATTTGTCCATGGCGGATCGTGGCAACAGGGTGATAAAAACGGTGGACTGAACAAAGGCATTGACAAAGCGTTCGTGCGTGCTGGATGCTTGGGTGTCTCTGTCAATTATCGGTTATCACCGGAAGTGAAGCATCCTGAACATGTCAAAGATGTAGCTGCTTCTCTTACATGGTTGCATCGGAACATTTACAAGGTGATACCATGAGCTTGAAGGGAAGTTTGAGAGAGACTCATGAATGTTTCATCCCAATTAATAGTATGGCGGTGATCCAGAGAAGTTGGTGCTGGTGGGATACAGTGCTGGTGCACATTTGGTTATGCAGGTTCTTGCTGATCCACAGTATCTGAGAGCAGCAGGTATGGAGCAGCCAGTTGGCACATTCGTGAAAGGTGCTGTGGGTATCTCGGGTGTATACAATGTCGTGCGACTCGCAAACGCACCATTCTATGGAACGCTTGTGACAAATCCACCTTTTGGTAAGCAAGTCGAGCAATGGAGAGAGGCGTCGATTGGCGTGACTGTCATGCGAGTTGGACCGACCTCGCCACTGATCAAGATGCCACTGCTGCTATTAAATGCCCAAGAAGACTTCCACTTTCAAGAAGACTCTCTTGAACTTGAGCAGTGGCTACGTGCAGCAGGAAACGTAAGTATTCCAAGTGAGGATCATGCTTTATGTTTCTTTTGGACTACTAACTATTTTTTGCGGCATGTACAGACTAGCATTAAACGACACGTCATAAGCAATTGCAACCATTTTACCATCATCCAACATCTCGCGAACGATAAACCTAGCACCAACGCGACTAAGCAGTTGATCAAGTCGTTTGTAGCGAGCATCGCTGGCTCACCCGCGATCACCTCTTCTTTCTAAGCATAATCAATCTATGGCAACTATCTTGTCATCAACCAATTCCTGCTCCTCATGACAACAAACAACGTGCAAACTTATCATTATGTCCAGATATATTCCATGCTTCATTTCGGTTCTGTTTACAGACTGTAGTCTCCGCAGCTACTCAAACCTGCTTCCGCTCCGTAAAGGCGCGCATGACGCAGCCCGATCCAGCTTTGGCTACCAGCTTCTGGTGCCACTCGAGTATAACTGCACTCTGCAACGCAATACCGAGAAAGCGCATGAGATACTTCATAAGATTATCCTCGAGCGGAATACTGAGTGAGTCAATAGCACGTTGCATCTCGCCCTTGTTACAAGCCAGCAATGCACCCATAACCACCTTGGCGTTTTCGTCTTTCACCGTATTATTCTTGGACTGCAGCGGTGGGTCCTCCAGCGACACAAGAACTGCCTCCTCGTGTTTACGCTTCGCCAGCAGCCCTTGCACTTTTGTAGCGCGAGCCTGTACACTTGCACTAATCTGGGCTTCGTCTACTGCCATTTTTCACTTTAGTCTGTGTGCTTCTTTATGTGGCAGTTGTATGTGAATATCGCAATGTCGTCGAGAATATTACGTTTTTAGTGAAAAAGTACCCTAGCCTGAAAATTGAAAAGAATGACAACAAACATAAATTGAAAAGAAATCAATACAAAACGCTTACGATATTGTATTTTTCGTTCTTTTCGTGGTATTGAAAAGAACTTTTGAATGACGTAATTGGGTCATTCCATATTGGGAATTCCAAAACGTACCTTTCTGTATAAAGAATCGTTTGTGTATCATTTTGTTAGCAGAATCCTGCTATTTTGATAAGAGAATGTTGTCGACTGCTACCACTAGTATCTTAAATATATCAAATGCAGCCACTCGTGTTGCATTGCATACTACAGCAAGAGTTTTCTACCTTTTGAAACCATTTCTATCTTCCAATAGAAGTCAATCTTACTCAGCAATAGCCTGTACCAACCAAACAAAGCATTTACGACAAAACACTACCTCGTTTTTGCCACAGAATAAGGCGGCTCGCACCCGAGTGCGGGTGCTATCGGTGTACGCAGCCATTCGGTCTCAACTTATGCGAACTGCCTGTCTTGCTAAAGCTAACGAGCACTGCACAAATGCCAACCTTCTTTGGGAAATGTAAACTCCTTGTAATCCACCTGCAGACAATTTTCAAGGCTTATCAGCGCACAAGATTGAACTTTTCTTCTCGTAGCCATTTGAACAGCTCCCCTTTCTTTGCATACGCCATCTCTTCGAATTTCGGCGCCGCCTCCACATCCATCGTGTGTCTCTTTCTTGGCACATGGATCAACATATTGATGCTATCTAGTGCAATCACCAAGCAACATCGTCGACAGCATTTTATATGCTACCTCCTTCAATTTTTTTCCACGAGTGTGCATGTACTACGTGCTATTCCTTACCTAGTATACAAGCACGCCAAATGTGCCCAAACACAAAGGCCTTGCGTCTTCTTTCTGCAATATCACGTATGCGCACCGACCGGGAAAGTACGTACGCTCCTCCGCAGGCGTGACGGTGTAATACTCCTTCGTGCCAGCGGGCATCTTCAACTCGGACGGATAACCCATCAACTGCATGACGTGGTCAAATAAGACCGTGGATGACTGATTTCATCCATGGTCTCGTTGAACGCGGTGTAAGCAGCGCAAATGCGACGCACGTTCTTGGCACACACATTCGTGTTGTCATCAAGCACGACGACATCTGAGACCTCAAACAATTTCAGACCCTCCTTAAACAACATAGCCTTGTTGGTCTGAATTAGTCTTCAACACGCTAGGCAACATCGACGTAGCGGATAACCTCAAAATCAACCGTGGCCGAGTAGGACAGTACAACAGTCGAAACCATCATCCTCACGGTTAAGATACTCCAAGGTCTCTATTATAAAGTGAGCATGATTCTGCCAAACCTTAATATACAGATCTTACTTTATTCTAGAAAAAGTCCTAAATTCAAAATTCTCCAAAAATCGAAAAACTTTTCGAATTGCGTGAGCCAGCGATGCTCGCTACAAACGACTTGATCAACTGCTTAGTCGCGTTGGTGCTAGGTTTATCGTTTGCGAGATGTTGGATGATGGTAAAATGGTTGCAATTGCTTATGACGTGTCGTTTAATGCTAGTCTGTACATGCCGCAAAAAATAGTTAGTAGTCCAAAAGAAACATAAAGCATGATCCTCACTTGGAATACTTACGTTTCCTGCTGCACGTAGCCACTGCTCAAGTTCAAGAGAGTCTTCTTGAAAGTGGAAGTCTTCTTGGGCATTTAATAGCAGCAGTGGCATCTTGATCAGTGGCGAGGTCGGTCCAACTCGCATGACAGTCACGCCAATCGACGCCTCTCTCCATTGCTCGACTTGCTTACCAAAAGGTGGATTTGTCACAAGCGTTCCATAGAATGGTGCGTTTGCGAGTCGCACGACATTGTATACACCCGAGATACCCACAGCACCTTTCACGAATGTGCCAACTGGCTGCTCCATACCTGCTGCTCTCAGATACTGTGGATCAGCAAGAACCTGCATAACCAAATGTGCACCAGCACTGTATCCCACCAGCACCAACTTCTCTGGATCACCGCCATACTATTAATTGGGATGAAACATTCATGAGTCTCTCTCAAACTTCCCTTCAAGCTCATGGTATCACCTTGTAAATGTTCCGATGCAACCATGTAAGAGAAGCAGCTACATCTTTGACATGTTCAGGATGCTTCACTTCCGGTGATAACCGATAATTGACAGAGACACCCAAGCATCCAGCACGCACGAACGCTTTGTCAATGCCTTTGTTCAGTCCACCGTTTTTATCACCCTGTTGCCACGATCCGCCATGGACAAATACACAAGTAGGTAGCTTAGCACAAGGAGGAATTCGTTGTGGAATTGTAATGTCTAAAGCCTGTAGCGCATGTGGAGACTTGGTCATATACGCCACCTCCTTCCAGCTATAAGTACTTAGCAAAGAAAGCGTTTGCCGCAGCATTAAGATCAACTTTGTTAAAGTAGCGATTCAACGTAGTTAGGTATACATTCATTCAATCTCTCGTGTCAGCTTCATTAAGGTTTCAGTTAAGTAAACCTAATAATAAGGACCAGAATATCTTGCCTTGCATCGATGGCAGCGCGAGCAAATGTACGTGCAACTAATGCTTGCCTTGCTTTATCAAGTATGCTACTTACATACAACTCATTTATTCTTCTACCACATTGTGTCTTGTTTGTATCAGTACCGGGCATCCATTCAATTCCCTAATGCACACAGTGACGGTATCTGGAGCACATTCTGGACGTCTAATGACAAGATTTTGACTGGATCGGTAGACGAAGTCGCCAAGGCCTGGTGCGTCTGTATTTATTCACATGTAACGATGAGAGGTGGACAAGAGATGTTAATTTTTGTGTTATCTCTTACGTGCTGTAGGGATGTAACGAAGGATGCCGTGTCCATTTCGCAGCAGTATCCGGGCCATGTTCTGGGTACGATCTCCATCGTCGGTAACAAAGCGGGTACACACGCCGTCACAAGCTCTCTCGACTGTCAGATTCGTGTGCTCAACCTTTCGTCGGGTACAGTGGAAAAGACCATTGATGCCGGTCCTGGTGAGCTCTGGCAACTTGCCTATAGCCCCGACGAGACCAAGCTCGTATCGGGCAGTCAGCAGGGCAAAATCAACTTCTTTGACATGGAGACGGAGAAAATCGTGCAGGAAATACCAACACAAGCCAAGTTTGTGCTGAGTGTTGCTTACGTATGGGTTGGTTCTTGAGTTTCAGTCGGTATAGGTAAGGGTACTGATGCAGTTGTGGTTGTATTGCGATGATGCAGTCTCCAAACGGGAAACACGTTGCGTGTGGTAGTTTTGATGGTTACGTTGGCGTGTATGATGTAGAAACTAGAGCCCTGGTCCACAAATACGAAGGTATATAGGTAAAGCAAGCGTGTTTGAGTGTAACGGGAATCCATGATGCTCACGTGTAGTTCTTGATACGATGTTACAGATCGTACAAAGCCGGTGCGCTCGGTCGCGTACTCACCGGATGGGAAGCTGTTTGCAGCCGCGGATGATATGCACGTCAATGTTTACGATGTGTACGTGGAATGCGATTTTATGTCGCTTGTAGCGGTGGAATGCAAGTGTTTTAATGTGCCTTTTGTGTAGTGCGTATGAAAACGCTGTTGCCGCTCTTTCTGGTCACGTCTCGTGGGTATTAAAAGTAGCGTGCTCGCCTAATGGTACGCAATTTGCTACGGGGTACGTTGCTAGATTTAGCTACAGAGTGGTATTGTTTGTTTTAAACAGATATCTAATTTTATGCGTTTGCTAACAGCGGTGCAGACCGGCGTGTAAAGATTTGGGACATAGGTACGAGGCGCTGCTTGACCACTTTTGACACGCATACCGATCAGGTAAGAAGGAATATGCGTTTGGTTAGTGCGTACGATGTAGAATAAACGGACACTGGTTTGCTAGGTGTGGAGCGTTGCGTACAACTCGTCAGGATCGCGATTAGTCTCGGGTGGTGATGATGCGTTGTTGCAAGTGTACGAGACTGCCATACTAGCTTAAGGCGTTAGCTTGTCAGTAGACGCTAAGTAAGCGAGCAATTTCCGACCGGTTGTCGAATGGATTCATTTTGAAGACGTCTGAGACTCGGGTGATTCCAAAGCACTTGCTGTGGTCAATATCAAGGTGGGCCCGGTTCTTGGGATAGTCATGACTAGCTAAAGGGTTCTGCGAATAAGATTGTTTCGTTGCGCTTTTGTCGAGCATTCGGGCTGTAAGAGATTTAGGTATTGGCGTAACACTTGATACCACTGCTCATCAAAGCAGCACAGGCGAGCATGTTGCGGTCCAAGAGCGATTCGAGCTCTGGCACCAATATAAATGGAATTGTGCCAGACAGCATGGATACCAGTACCGTTGAATGCTGGTTTAAAGCAGCTCTTAAAACGTTCAGACGCCATACAGCCATAAATCTTATTATTTAAAGTAGTCGGCGTCAATGCTGTAGCTATTGTCAACGACCAAAAGCAACCGTACCAACCCACAAGCTTTAAGGTGCGGAGGTTGCTACTCGATGCGTCACTGCATTGGACGTTGCTGGCTTTGCGGAGCATGTCTTGTAGTGCAGCATGTGCAAACTAACACAGAACACTATAACCACTGGCGTGAATTGTCGTAGTCTAAACTTTAATTAAGAGCGTAGACCAAGAGTGATACCTTACAGGCAAGTCACGTTGTTATAGACCACAAGTGATACTTCATAGCTAAGAGTTGACAAGTGATACTTTAAGCGAAGGTGGTGTACCGTCCGATCCGGGCAACCAAAGCGGCCGGCGGTACGCCCAAAAGCTGAAGGCACGGGAATGGATGGACTTTGGTGACGAAAACACAGTGAGATCAATTGGGACAGGAGACAGACAGATAAACCAAGCGAGGCATTAGTTTGGGGAAGGATTCAGCTTACAAAGTAACTCGATAACCAGATCGAACGGACATTGGAGGCGATGCGGAGGCAATACAAACATGTATCGAACTGGGAACGGCACCAAAGTACATGCGATCCATGGCCGGCCATTCCGACCAGGCGCAAGCAGGTGTACAAACTGCCAGCGATTGGCAGCCCGTTCTTAGGACCAGTTCCTCGCGTGGCGTGAGACCTTGTCAGAATTGGTGACCGGGATGGAAAACACACGCCTCTCGACCTATTCAAATAATTTGGCCAACTATCAAGTTGCTAATGCAGCCAATAAGAGTCAAATCATTTTCCATAACACGGCCATCACTCCAAACCCATTGAGAAGACGCGGTACGTGGGGAACCAAGCGTGACGGGGAAAAAAAAAAAAAAAAGGCACTCCGGATACGCAACGTACGACGCCGCCTCCTCCGTCGCGACGGACGAGCGTGGGCGAGTCGCATACTGATCCTCATTACAATTGTTTTACCTGGGGTATTCTTCACGACTGCAGTCGATAGTATCCCGCCCTGCTCTTAGAGTCCTCCATAACCTCTATAAGCAGATCTTATGGAACAATTCAACTGATTATGAACCCGGTCGCCATCACATAAACCTTGGCCTTTTCGTTTTTCCACGCCCGCAAGGAGGTGTTGGGTTAGTCTCCATTCTAGGCGCAGCCAACCCACAACGATAGAAGTACGCATGGCCCGGTCGGGTCACTCACCGTGGCGTGGAACGCGGGGGGGGGGGGCAAACATCGAGCGCGGGTCACCGTTTCATCCCCCAAAGACCTATCCCATGAAGAAAGGTTGCGCTATCGAATGCGAGTTGTATCTTGAGCCCTGTCCCAGGCAAATTGCATGGTCCAGCGCTGCGATAATTTTGCATTTTCGAGGAGCTGCCAAGAGCTAATGGGAAGAACCTGAATGGATCCTGCATCTGCGTGCATTTGTCTTTTCTGAGCAGGCGAGATCATTTATGGGCGGGCACTGCAGTAATTTTCTGTCGTTTACTTGTAGGCGGACAATCCGTGGATTTTTGGGCTCAGACCCCGCTGAGCTGCGTCCGCGTCGTTACAACCAGGTTGTCGATGGCCATAGACGGCTTTGACATAAATCTAACGGGGCCGACTGAATACACCTTTTTCGTTTTAGCTGAATACCCATTCTAGAAGGAAAAGGTAAACATTAGCAATGATACCGGCTATAACAAAGCAATCACTAATCTGCACGCCTTATCGATGGATATCTCAGCACAATCGGACTTGACTTTTTGTTTGTTCTTAGAGCACAGTAAACCTCATGTTTGGTGGATCTGGAGGAGGCTACTGTGCACCATGGAATATCACAGACTGATTCACCCACTGCTGGTACGTAGTTCCTGCATTCGTATGTGCAGCTCGAGACAAACATGCTTTCGCGATCACGTAGCCAGAGAAAAGTTTTAGACATAGTTGTAGCTCCATATTCCTTGAACGATCGCGGTAACGACGGCATACGGAGAATAAACGGGATTTAAAATGTGTAACTGGTTTGCCAATTCCCCGCCATTCGAACGAAGCACTTTGCCTGATTCAAAATCCACACATTCTCCGAAGTAACGTTCCACGCTCCTATTTTGGACATTTTCAGTAAAATTTTGACCTGATCCGTTGATAAGTCCAGCCGATACCTTGGTGATCACCTCCAGGAGGATGTAAGCAAGCCTAATGTGTAGCAGCTTTGGAACCACTAAGCGAACAAGTTCCGTGCGAGCGTCAGATTATGCCACCGATCTGAGACAGAAAAATCAATTTACTATGATCTACTTCGTAATCTGTTCCGATCAGGGCGCAGAGCTTCAATTCCTTAGCCTATATAGGGTTACGTTCCCGATCAGGCATGTTTTCAGATTATTAATTCACTTCTCTTATACTTTCGCTTATTTACTGGGTAAAGCCAAACTTGCTGGGTTATGAGCTCTGCAATATTTCCGGTAACAACGACTTCTTACGACTAATTTAGTGAGCGTACTCACCTTAACAACTCGACATGACTGGGGGCCATAGGTTCATCCATTTGACTAGGTGTAATCAAACTCTAAAGTGCTCAATTGAAACATCCACAAAATCTTTATCCGCTCACTTGCTAGTTTCTATTAGCGCTCTGATTCCGGTCCCGTTTTTTGTGTAGAAAGTCACGTACCGGTCATGTAACGAGGTTACACGAAGGTGTGTATTTTACATACACACCTGGCACACCAATGTGGTGGCTGTATGATGTGACCGTACCTGAAGTACGAAGGGTCGCATTGTGGCAGAGAGCCACGTGGTCACTATATTTATTCAAGTATAGTGACTATACAAGTTTGCATAATAATAACAGGCTATAGAGCCAGTAAATAGTGACTAGCGCTAAGTATACAGTAGGCGCTTCTGTATTTAGTGCTTGAAGATAAACATAAATATAAATCAGTTTCAAACCTGCTCTCTAAACATCACTACTTGAGCGTTCTATTCCTCCTAAGGAATTGTATCTTTGAT